TATGTCAAGCGTTGACAAAGACTACAGGAGTAGCCGAAATATTCGCCTAATAAATTTTAGTGTTTCTAAAGTCAACATCTTACGTATTTGAGTTTCTTTACAGTTACGTTATATTATATTCTACATATATATATATATATATATATATATATATCCTAAGAATAATAAGTAAACATTTAATTTGCATATTAACATAAGCTCACAGTAAATGTATATTACTTTCAGTTTCTCATCGGCTAACTTCGATCACAGTAATATTAATACGATGATCTTTAGATTGTTTTCTATTGTCACATATCCATTATTGTATGGCCTTTGACCTGTTTTCAACTAAAAGTTGTCAACCCCTTAATACTGATGATAAAAAAAAGTCTTTGTGCATAAGGGAGCTGCTCCCTAGTTTTAGTTGATGATTATTATTTTTTTCCTGATGCAAAGGATGTGAATATTCCTCTCTACAGCTGCTAGGGACCATGCCATATGTACAGTAATTTAACACAATGGTGCTGAGAGTTAGAGGTTTTTCTCCTACCTTTACCGTGTTTTGTACTAGCCAAATAACACACTATATTTTAAAAATAAAAAATGCTTCATTCTATTAAATTATTTATAAAAATTCCTTTAAGCAACCTTTGAATAACCTTTCCAGTAGAAGATTCAAGGTCCAGCCACCTTCCTCTAAATTTTTTCAAAATTATGAAAAATGTGGAGAGAAAAAGAAAATTATATTTAAATTCTGAGAGTGCCATTTCTTAGGCCATCTAGACATGCCATAATCATTAATTCCCTTACCTCAGCCCCAGCCATGGTGGGGCTGTGAAAATCCTCCCTGGGCCCCACTATTTTGAATTCCTAGATCTGCCACTGCTTTTCCTTATAATTTAATCTAAGAGCATCTTTTTTTTTTCAGATGAGATTATAGGACAATCTCATCTAATTAATCTCATCTAATTAACAAAGATGAGAGTTATTTTCAGTTTTTGTGACAGTCCATTGGTTTCATTTGCGAGACTACAAAGTTGATCGACTGTCAGCCATTTGGTAAAACTCTATACAGTATCATATTTGTTTATAGTCTCCTGCAGAGTCCCATAGTAGAAAAGAAGTAAAAGGGCAAACTTAAATTTAGTTCAGTAGTGATAATGTAGATTGAATTTAGTTTCAAGCATCCAGAACTACTATAAAACACTCTATCAAGATGATGTGAGGTACAGTAAACAGAGAGGGCATTCACAACCTTCTCTGTTAAGAACATCAACCTGACTGACATGGAGAATGAATGTGGATGTAAGCTGTTAATATTCTGTTCTCGTTCACAAGTTTATAATACAAAAAAGATTACAGAATCACTAACGTGACAGTCGCAAAGAACACTTTTACCGAGAATTTTATAAACTAATATAAATGTGTAAATCCTCTGATAGAAATTTAAACATGTTATTAAATTGTTTATGATCATTCCGGATATTCCATTATTCTAATAGGGATAACATTGTTTTACTAGAAAATAGCATAAGTAGGACTAAGGTAAAAGTCATTCCAAACTGAATAGGCTTAAAGATCGAGTTCTTACTTATCAATAACAGCATTATGGAATAAACTCAAAGACTTGCCGACCCTTGGTCACAATTTCAAAATATTGTACAAGACTTCATAAATGCAAAATGTAATTCTCAAAACATTAATATATAAGAGATTGATTTATAAGATAGATTACAGAATATTGAGTACCGAGTCAAAATGATAATCTGTTTCATTCTATTCTTCATCTTCTGGAATTGGATTTTGATGCATTTTAAGGCAATTACAGCACTGTATATCCTTTAAATTATAACCATCTATCTATCTATCTGGAAGACATTGAATGGAATATGTCTGATAAGGCTATTGACCGACACATGATCGTGAAACGTCCTATAGAAACGATGTTAATGTTGAAGATAATTTGGGGTCAGTCGGTTAGCAATTTTTATTTCGAACTGTAGGCCTAGGCCTAATTCTAGGGTTCATTGCCAGCATCACTTACCCCATATATTTTGGCTGGTGAAATGGATCACCGGGGTAAAATGTGAGGCTTACAAAGTGATATCAACAAATAAAGAAATCTTATCAAGCACTGTATCATTGGTAAAACCATACCCTTGGAAAAAAAAAAAAATTGGCAAGAAATAATTCAACTTCAACTTCAACAAAAAAAAAAATGATTTTTAAAAATTCGTTCCAATGGCAATGATTACAAATTTGAATTATATGACTCAATTAGGAGTGCAAAATATGACTGAATGGTTATGTGCTAAATTTCAAATACCAAGGTCTTTGGTTCAACTGCCAAAACAAATTGGTATTTTTTCACTCCCCCAAAAAAGAAAACAATTTTAATTCACAAGCCTCAAATTACATTGCATTGGAATTCCAATAATCTTGTTAAATACAGCAGTAAACAATATTCATAGAAAACTATGTTGAAACAATAACAGAAAAAGTGAAGTACTGATCAAGCTTGTAGCTTAATATATAATATAAAAATAAATAAATCTAAAACAAATATTTCATAATAGTTCTGAGCCTAAACAAATGCCAGTTTCTAAGTAACTTTTCTAAAAAAAATTCTAAAAAAAGAATATTTGTGTATATAATGGCTACTACAATTTCTTATTGTTGAATTCAATTCTGATTTAAGCACAACTATATTTGTGTCCTTAATAAATGGTACTGTACAGTATGTAAGCTGATTGGGATCAGTAAACATGTTCAACCTTGTCTCTTGCTTGCCATATCAATAGTCTGTTATTTTTGTGGTTCTATCACCTTCAACCATTTTCAAAAAACAATGTACAATCTGTTCCCTTATCCTTTGTACAGCATACAGTAGGCTTATCTTTTTCTTTTAGTTTATTCACTCAATACCATTCTCTGTCATTTCTTCTAGCCTTATAGGTGCCTTGCAGCATAGAAAAACATCCCATTGTTATATAGAAACAGGCGTAATTACATTGTTAAGCGCACACGGCAGACTTTCGCCGTCTTCTTGATCAAGTATTGTTGTGGAATGATAAGTGGTATTATAATAAGATTGATATGAAAAGGAATTACAGCAAAAAATGTTGACCCCTGCAGTACCTAATAATTATGTTTGTGCTCACTGACTGCTAAAAATATTTATGGTTTTAGTTGGTCTGTTTTCAAGGAATCTGTTTTTCTATGACTATACAAAAACAGACAGCAATGAAAATTTTCGAGTGGATCTCCGATCTGTTTTAGGAGGTCTCCATTTTCAAAACACCTGTTCTCTAAGGTTGGGAAAACATCATCATGCTCACAATGACATTCAAAATTATTTACTACTATTTCTCACATTGTGTTCATCCCCGCTCCCAGTAGTAACAATTTAATTTTTGTTTATGTATGAATCACTTGTATTTAACCACCAGCTTCATCTAATCTTCACATTAATCACAACACAGATATGGACCAGCTGGGCCCGGAGCCCAGCAGTGGGGGGGCCGGAAGCGGGGGCCGAAAGTTGGGCCGATTGAGACAACACTGTCGTAGGGGGTCCGGGGCATGCCCCCGCGAAATTTTTGTGTTCTAGACGCCCGAACATAACATTTGAGGCATTCTGGACTATCATTTTTTTCTTTTTCTCTCTTTTTTACCTCCCAAAAGGGGGGGGGGGGCCCCTAAATCCGCCCCTGGAAATAATTATAATCATTTTTTGAAACCAGAAGCAACTGCCTGAGAGTGCCATTTTCAGGCATCTTGAGGGATAGACGTGTACTCCAAAAGTTTTTTACCTCAGCCACAACCATCGTGAAGCTAAGGTGGGTGTGGCATACCAGTATCTGTCAGTGAATGATGGACAAACTGCCGGTCCTACAAAATAAATACATCCTCATTTTCCCTTGAAAAAACCATTTATTGAAAAAATGAATTTCCCAACAATGCCTCTTTATGTAAATAGGTTAGTAATATATATTTTATAGATTTATTGGACTAGTTGTATAAAGGTTATCCTAACTTGGATTCATTACACGACATTTTCAGTTGTAAGGTCATCAGCATTACAATGGTATCAGAAGTGTACTGTGGGCTTGTATAGTAAATGCCTACCATTGATTCTAGGAAAACGAGATACTGATATAAATAGATGACTTTGTGGGAGCAGTGGAAACAGTGGATGGGGTTCAGGCTATTGAGGTCAGGCTATTGAGGTCAGGCTATAAAGGTCGGGGGTTGAGTCGCTTATTACTTTGTGTCATTCGGCAAGGCACTTTAAAGCAGCAGCTGCATTCACATCGTGCACAGAACACGGTTATTTGGGTTACGTATGTATGCGTTCGATTGTTCGAACCAACCAAGCTTGTTGCTGATTGGTCCAAGAGAAAAAACGTACACAAATTGCTCTCAGATCCATCGGCCCGGATCTGGATCCCGGATAGGAAATCGTAAGAATTTGATGTAAACGGTCCTATTCTTTACCACTGAACCCATTTTTCACAATTTTTTGTCTGGGCACCGGACCGGATCCTTACAGGTGTCTGTTCCTTTCCACCAATACGTTTCAATGAGAGTTGTGGTATTATAGATTGTAGCACTTAGCACCAATTTTCCAATTTATAGATGCAATGTAAATTCCTATAATTTATTATCCAATAAAACTTAAGTCACTGACTATTAATATATCCCTCTGTCAACTATGTATGCATCTCAGCATCCTGTGTTGATACACAGATTAATAATGCAAAGATATGCATTAGTTATGGGTATGTGATTATAGATATAGGAAGATGAGTGTGTATATAGGTACGTGTTGGTAAGTGCACCTGGTTATACCTGACCTAGGTTTCACCTTTGATTCAATTTTCACACATTTTCTGCACCCTTTGTTACATAGAATAACTACTAAATGGGGAGTTATTTATTAGTTGAGGTTCAGTGAATACATGGACTCCCTAAGGCAGTGAGTGGCGTCAACCTACTATGTCTTCTTCAAAACAACTTTAACCGAAAGTAAGACCGAAAAATAAATTACTTAAGAATTAAAACCTATAATCCAATCCATACATTTTGTTACCTGTGTATCAAAATTGTGGTACTGCAATAATTTAGCAACAGAAATAGCTCACGCCTAACAGATTGTCATAGCCAACACATTTGAAACATAAATCCAAATACATCCTGCCAACATCCCACATATATCAACTAAAAAGTTCAAAGAATGTAAACCTATCATCTGCAAAGAGAAAAATTTATAGCTTTTTATCTAATTAATCCCCCAAAGTAATAACTCAATTGTCATCTTAACATCTAACCTATATTTTATTTAAATACTAGAACAATAATAATATGAATAAATAATATAAACTACTGATGTGATTTTGATGTTTTTAGCCAATCGCTCACCGTGAGGTGAGCGATTGGCTAAGAGGTACTGTTCCTACTTCGTGAGCTACAACCTTCAGCAAGAGCTTTTACTTAATTTGGTTCCTAGTATGATGTTAACATGAGAGTTACCCATACTGTTTTGAGCAGGTACAGTACCTTGCTTATTGATTGCATAGGTTCAACATACATTGTTTTTAGTACCGTATAATGTGTTTTCAACATACAATCCTAAATCTTCAATTTTTTATCAGCTTTTAATTATACTAGAATTTAACTATACAGTCTAAATGTGCTCACCAATTTTTAGATATTGTGACTTCTCTTTTAGACCACCTGAAAAACTATTGGTTATTATTGTTGGTTAATGTCTAATATTTATTGTAATGTTATATTTTAGATAACTTTTAACTAAATTTTAATCAGAAATATAACCAGTGCTACATTTATAAATGGTATTATTTATTATGTGAAAACCTTACTGTAGTCACCCTAATTTTAAAGCCACAAAGTATAAACAATTTGTTTTTTTCTGTTCCGAGTTTTCAATATTCACCATTGAATCTGAAATCAATCAACTGACTGAACAATCAACTAATCCATTAATCCAGCATATTGCTGTGAATAAAAGCATTAAAAAGAAAAGAAGAAAGTTTATATATTTCTTCAAAATACTTTGAAGTGTGCTACAGTAGCCCTTAAAAATAGGTTGCACCATTCACAGATTATAAAAGCATGTAAAAATTAATATTATCAGCATAAAATTAACCAAACACTTACAACGTATGAAAGGGTATGTCACTTCAGGGACAGTCCCATTGGCCAGAATGTCGTACCAATCTATCGTTGATGCATAGCAGAGCTCGTGGTTCTTGAAAATTAATACGCCACCATTCAGAATTTCTGGAAGAAACAATGGTTATTTGAAATGTTCATAATTGGTTAAATGTAAATTTACAAAATAAATAACTAATTTGATTCATTATTGTAATTAGAATAACAATAATCTTCAGTAAAATCCCTAATAAGGGAGGTGTTAGAGATATATTTTCCTTCGCATTGTGGCTGGAAAGTTCCTCCTTAATAGGGGTGTCCTCTTACAGTAAAAGGGTGTGCCCCTATAGGATAGTTTCTAAAGTAAGGGCTTTAATAAACAGTTCACATTTATGTACAGGTACTTTATAACATTATGATAATAATTTGTAATTGATCAAGACTGAAATGTCATGTGCAATTTATATTGAACTGTAAATCTTGAAAATTTAAAAAAAAAGTAATATTGCAACATCAAATTGTTCCTTCATATGAAAAAAAAAAAGTCACCAACTTGAAATGACACACATATTGAAGCCATTTAGTTTTTGCTCAGTTATAGGTATTTTAATACTAAAATATGTAAATTGATTACCAGTCAGTTTAAAGGTCTATGGAAAGAAAGGAACTACTATGGGTTAATTAATAAGGGAAATTTTATTATTTACATCATTTGTATTTTATATAACAGCAGTACTGTAATCAAATAGCAATAGCAACAAAAACAATAATAATGCCAACAACAGCAAGTGGGTTGGCACAGTGGGAATGGTTTGGTTTCCAAACCTCAAGGTCGGGGTTTTGATCCCTCACTATGCATTTCGCTTGTGTCCTTGAGCAAGACACTTTATCTGCATTGCTTCCCTCCACCCAGGAGTACAAGTGGGTACCTAAGGAGGTTCAAGTATAAAATGCGCTGATATATTTCATGCAGCAAACCAGGGAATTTACCCCATAGGCATCCTTCCAATGACTGGGGTAATAATATGGAAAAGCAATCCGAGACTTAGTTGTGCAGATCACTATATAAATATTATTATATACATCATATTATAATAATTATTATTATTATTATTATTATTATTAGCAACATCAACACAAACACCAATTCCAACAATACCAATAGTAATAACACAAAAAAAATTAACATTAAGGCCATGTTAAAAGAAAAATTGTTGATCATCCTTTTCTTTTAAAAGTCGGGAGGGTAATGAAACCACTCTATTGATACTTGCCAAGTCTTTAAATTCCCCATGGAGGGGCCCCTTGTGTAAATGGTGGATGACTTTGCTGGATCTTCCAGGGAAGTGTATGATCAGGAGGAATTTATACGAACAATCAAAAGACAACATAATTACCCAAAGAAAGCTTAGGCCTAGCTGAAGTTGAATTATGGGCAGAAAGACGATTTTTTGGTGGGGGAAAAAAAATGGTTGGGTGATTTTTTTGAAGTAGGTAGGGGACGATCAACAACTTTTTTTTTTACATAGCCTAACAGCAACATCAACAACACCAACACCAAGAACAGCAACAGCAACAAAAGAGTACCAACACCAATAGCAGCAACAGGAATAACAGGTATAGCACCAACACCAGTATATATTCTATTAATTTGATTGGTCGAAAAACCAGTCATATGGGATTAAATTAAAATGACTATTCACTGTTTTTGAGCGACTAATCAACAATCGTTGACAAAATTCTAAAGTGAAACGTGAGAAAAAAACAGCTGATGCTGACAATTTTCGGCAGACATCGCTTCCTGTAAACCGACGCAGGTTCGGTACTGGGCCGTTTGTGTCGAGCGAGGAATGATTTCCAAAACTGATGGAAAGAGAACCTGAACATGTATGCACTGCAGTATTTTGCTAGCTTCAGCAGCAGTAAAAAACATGAACTTATCAATTATGCCTCGCTGAATAGAACATCCAATCTTTCTTTCACCTCGTGAAATAGTCTACAACAGTGTACTCGTAAACATTCATTATTTGTATATTGTTTATGTTTAGGGTCCTAGAAGGTCAGCTTCTTACTTGCTGGATGATTCACTCTCATTAAATATGCTCCAATCTATAATAACTAAATTATTATTTATTGTGTATATCTTCCGTGTATGTATTTTGATGGTCAAATACATGAAAGGTAAACAATAATAATGTCATGCAATCAGAAAAAGCATGTTTTCCACACTACAGATAATAATCTCACCATTATAATCAAAGGTTATATTAAGAAAATTAATTACATGACCAGCTTGAAACTGATATCATTCCATGATGTCATCTCTATTGATCTTAATCATTAACAATACTGAGACCACTGAACAGGATCAACATGACAATGCCAGCGAAGGACAGGAAAACCATCACAAAAGACACAAGGACAACAACCTATATAAAACCAGGAGTTAAATCCATGCAAGCACAGAGTGTCAAAATACTGCAATATACAGTACAAAAATATTTTTTTTTTCAAATTTTGTTTATTAATGTAATAAATAACTATAAAATATTGCACTGCATTGTTCCTACTAGGAAAATGTTACATACACGGAAAATTATCGAAGATAATACATATCCAAAGTGCAATGTTGTTGAAGATGACGCACATTTTTTTAAAAATTATTATTGTACAGAATCACATGACTTGTGGAATTTTATTAATCATTTTAGCTTTATTAATTATGGTATTGAAGCAAATTTTAAAAATATTGTCCTTTGTACAGGGAACGTTTATAGACCATCTGTTTTTATTAGGAACATTTTGCATTTACAAAGCAAACGTCCGAAAACATCTAAACAAATGGAGTTACACCTCAGTTTTCCAACTTTTTATGATACAGAAAGACATATTCAAAAATATTTTGATTAACTTTTAACTGAACAACTCATTTTACAAACGTATGCCAAAATCTTCTCCAGTATTTTTACATTGCCATATTGCATTATGGATGATTGTGTAACCAAAATGTTGCTTATAAAAAATGTTTTGTCTTCGTGATGAATAAAGGTGGGATGACACCCACCAAAAAAAAAAAAAGTCAAGTTTGCAGCCTTTTTCAAGGCTAAATTACAATTAATTGTGAACAGAGGAATCATGTTTGGCAAATTTTGTGTTCTAAGGAAATGGGCTTATATAGTAGAACTATGGTTAGTAGAAATAAAGTTTTATTTTTTCCATGATGAGAGATTCATTCAGTCTAGTGTTCTAGTGTATATATACTATAGCCTACTTCATATTTTTTATCTATCGCGTGTCTGTCTATTAAAGATTAAATACATTCATGTAGTGTGGATAAAAGGCAATCGCCTCATAATACACCTGCATAGAACTAAAAGGTTATCTTATTCAGAAATAGATTTGATTTCAGAAACTAGCCTTACCTGGGTATAAGCCCAGGTCTTTTTCCAATTACTGAATGCAGAAGTTAATAGGCCTTTATATTGTAAAGTTTGGGTTTTTTTTTTTCCTTTTTGTTCTAGGTATTTTACTTAAATAACTTATTTGTGCCCTAGATATTTTCTCCCTTCCCGGACATTTTCAACTGGTATTTCCCGCATGTGTTAAATAAAACAAGAATTTAAATACAAGGAATACATCAAGATTTACATCATCTCTTTTACTAAATCTTTATTATGGCTATGTTATCACACGGCTGCTAACGGTTAGCAGGATCCGGATCCTGCTAACCGTTATAATATAATTTATATTTAATTTATATTTATAATAATTTTTTATTATTAAATTAAATTTTCATTATTATTACTATTAAATTATGATATAACGTTATTGACGACATGGACTACAGTATAATAGTTATACAAACGTAAAGTGAAACAGAATTTACATACATTAAGCTTACGCCATTTACACTTGCTGTTTTTAGTTACTATTTAATAACACTATTGAGAGAAAATGGAAGTACTGTATAATGGTTAAGCAAACAATCAGCAATTACTTTAGTAAGGTAACACCAGGTAATACAGATGTTACAAATTGTGCACTTGCAATCCATTACAACTATTTTAGAAAGGTACAATATCCCACAGAGCGTTCATAATGATTTTTTTAATGATCTTTATAATTACTAAGTTAATTAGTTATCTAAAAGTAGTCGGGGGGGAGGGGGTGGGAGATGAATAAACTGGTGAACAACAGCTAATATCACAAGGGGAAAATGTCCAAATGGGAAAATGTCCGGGGGTCAGAACCAGCCTGCTCCCATCTTAATGTTCTTCAAATAATTGTTACAATGTCGTTAACTGTCGAAGCTACAGTATGTGTTGCAACTATAGCTGGATGTTTACAGACGATATTTCTGTCTTGTGGCCTATAATCAATATAAGTAAGGATACACCTTTGGGCCCATCCCCCACCCCCAACTCTAGGTTGACAAACTATATGTGGCAAAGACAAGCCAAACCAGTCACTCGTCGCAAACCGTGTTTCAGAGAAAATGGCCAAAACATGCTGGAATGTCAAATTTTAAAAAATCTATTTTATTGCACTAAACTAATCTTTACATATCTATACATCATTCTATGCTGTTATTTTCCC